TAACGTGTTTCAACCAGGAGATGTAGCCTTGAGCGTGCTCACCCTTCAGTGCCAGAGAATTTGGAGGACAGTGTCTTTCTGGCTAACTGGAAGAAGTCCCTGTTCCCATCCTAAGAAAGGTGAGCCAGCAGAATGTAGAAATTGTAGAACAGTATCATTAATGATACTGCAAAATACTGCCAAAGAGAATCCAAAAATGGCTAGAACAGTACATGGACAGAGAACTGCCAGAAGTTGAAACTGGGTTTAGAAGAGCCCATTGCACCGGGGATATCATTGCTGATGTTAGATGGATCATGACTGAAAGCAGAGAATACCAGAAGAATATCTATTTGTGTTTTATTGACTATGCAAAGACATCTGACTGTGTGATTCGTAAGAAATTATGGCTAACATTGGGAATCCCAGGGCACTTGTGTTTATGCGAACCTGTACTAGACCAAGAAACTGTGTGCAAACAGAGTCAGGAACACTGCATATTTAAAATCAAGAAGGCAGTGCATCAGGGGTGTATTCTTTCTCCATACCTACTCAGTCTGTATGCTGAGCAAATGATTTGAGAAGCTAGACTCTGTGAAGAAGAATGTAGCATCAGAGGAAGACTCATCACAATCTACATGCTGCATGATACAGCCTTGCTTGCTGGAAGTGAGGAGGATCTGAACTGCTTGCTGCAGAAGATCAAAGACTACAGCCTTCAATATGGATTACATCTCAACCTTAAAAATGCAAAAATTTCACACCCATTTTTATCACGGCTTTGTTCACAATAGTAAGGGGTTGGAAACAACCTAAATGCTCATCAACAAACAAATGGATAAAGAAGCTGTGGTATATTCACACAGTGGAATACTACACTGCATTGAAAAACAAGGAACTCATGAAGTATTATTCAAAAAGAGTGACCCTGGAGGACATTATGCTGAGTGAAATATCTCAGTCACAAAAAGACAAATACTGTGTAGTGCCACTGTTGTAGAATGGGACTGACATCAGGGTTGGGGTAAGACTGAGAAAAACTGGATAGATCATGTATACTGCATTGAAACAGATGAGGGAGAGAACAGTTTAAAAGCAACATATGATAGGGTGTTATGGTTATCCCAAGAGTCCAGAATGAAGACTGTATAGTGGAGTGTACTCGGGGCAGAAAGATTGTATACCAATGAAGGAATTTTTCTCTTACTTTTCAAAGAGAAGAGCGAACTGAGGGGAAGGGTGGACAGGGAGAAAAGTGCAACAGTGAATGAATGGAAATCCAAAATCTCTGTAAATGTTCTTTAAAATGGATTTAAAAAGAAAGCAGAAATTCTCACTTCTGGACTGATAGGCAACATCATGAAAGATGGAGAAAAAACTGAAATTTTCAACAATTTCACGTTACTTTGATCCACAACCAGCACCCTTGGTAATAGAGATTAGTAAATCAGAGATGTATTGCCTTGGGCAAATCTGCTGTCAGGGGCTGCTCCAAATTATTCAGAAACTGTAATACCAAGTTTGAAAACTTTACATTACTTTGATCCACAACCCTTGGTTATAATGATCAGTAAATCAGAGATGTATTGCAATGGGCAAATCTGCTGTCAGGGACTGCTCCGGATTATTCAGGAGTAGTAATACCAGTTTGAAGATTAAAGTGTTCCTGATTCATGCCATGGTCTTTTCAGTCCCTGGCTATGAAACTGAGAATTTGACAATGAATAAGGATGACAGAAGCAGCATTGATGTCTTTGAGCTGTGGTGTTGGAGAAGAGTACTGAATATCCTGTGGACTAAACAGACAGGTCTTGGAGAAAGAACAGCCAGAGTTCTCCTTGGAGACAACAATGACGAAGCTTTGCATTTGTCACCTTTATCGTGTTGTTAGCAGAGACTGTTCCTTGGAGAAGGAGCTCATGCTTGGAGAGTTGGCAGAAGACAAGAAGATTCCCAGCCAAGTGGATTGACACAGTGACTGCAGCATTGGGCTCGAGTGTGTTAGAAAGTACGAGAAGGCACAGGATAGTGCAGGGTTCACACCTGTTATTCACGGGTTATGAACTCATGAATATATTACTCATATGTGTTTTAATTGACTTGATGACATCTAACAGCAGCAACAACAACATTCAGTTATTTTGTCTGGCAGTGATGCTGTATCTACTTGGAAGAGTTGTTTGCATTAATCAGTCCATATTAGATCCTGTAGGGCTGATTTTTATGTATTTTGAAGCTCTCTTGTCAGATGGATCCCTATTTAAGATCTCCTTGTTGAATTGACCCCCTTATCTATATTTCTCTTTTATCATTCATAATAATATTTGTTCTATATTTTGTCTAATATTAATGTAGCCACTGGATCTTTTAATTAGTACAAGATATATATTATTTTCTCCTCCTTTAAACTTTTAACCTATGTCTTTATATTTAAGTGAATTTCTTTTAAACCACATATAGTTAGATCTTGAGATTTTATCTAATCTGACAATCACTTAGTGTATTTAGACTTTTTAATATGTAATATAGAAGGAGAATTGATGCCTTTGAGCTGTGGTGCTGCCAGGAGTATTGAGGGTTCCATGGACTGCTAGGAAAACAAACAGATTCATCCTGGAAAGGGTCAAACCGGGTGGCTCCTTGGGGGCAAGGATTCCGAGGCTCCGTCTAACATACTTTGGACATGTTGTAAGGAGGGACTGGTCCTTGGAGAGGGACATCATGCTTGGTAGGGTGGAGGGACAGTGCAGGAAGGGAAGAACCTCTATGAGGTGCACTGATTCAGTGACTGGGGTAATTGGGATGAGTGTATTGGAGACAGTGTGATTGGCACAGGACAGAGCAGAGTTTAGGGCTTTTGTACATAAGGTCACTCTGAGTCACAAGCGACTCAATGGCACACAACAACAACAACAATATGATCATTAGCTGGTTGGATTGAAATATACCATCTTATTTCTTTTGCATAGTCTGGGTCCTTCCCCCCTCCATATTTCTTACATATTAATGGAATCTTAACTATAACTCTCAAGTTGATGATTTACATGTAGAAATTTTTTTTGAAAGAAATGTAGTCACGTGCTCCTTTTTGAAGCAGGGGACAATGTGACTTCATTTCACATACTTGGATGTGTTAAAGAACGTTATGCTTGGAAAAGCAGAGGGTCAGTAAAAAAGAAAGAGGAAGACCCTTAACAAGATCGTTTGACACAATGACTATGACATTGGGCTTCAACATAGTGGGGATGTGAGAATGGAGCAGAGTGTCATTCTGCTCTCCATTGGGGTCACTATGAGCTGGGCCCAGCTGAGCAGCACTTAACAACTACAGGGGTTTTTTTAGTGACTATCCTAGAGTTTACAATACACAGCTTTAGTTACTCTCAGTTTAGCTTAAAATAACATTCTTTTAATGAAAAATAAAGTTATGTTTACTTTTCTAGATGCCATTTCTCACATTTTTGGTTTTCTATAGAAATGCAATTTTTTTAAATCTAGTACCATATTTTTTCTACCTGCTCAGAAATAATTGCAAACGAATTGCCATTAAGTTGGCATCAACTCATAGCTGGCCTGTCAGTGAGTTTTCAGAGGCTGTCCACCACATGGGAGGAGAGAGGATGTTTTTCTTCTGAGGAACCGCTTGTGGATTCAAAGCACCAGAGAAGGGGCCACCTTTGGTGAAAATGCCTGGAAATGAGTCCCTGCATTTTCACTAGAATCAGCCTATTTGTAATAAGTAAATGTTTTTTTTTCCTTCTTAATTTTTGAAAGCTATTTTCTCACTTAGTACAGAATTCTGGATTGACAGTTTTTTCTTTCACTTTATTTCTATCACTCAGTTACCTTTTTTAAAAATTTTGACATAAATGAACCCATTTTTTAACAGGCTAGAGCTGCTTCCAGCTAGAGCTTCTCCTGGTTTAAATTCAGTATTTAGGCAAATGGTCCATCCCAGGCCTCAGCGATGGGACCTTCTTGATGATACTGACCCCGCCCAGTGGGAGAAGATCCCCCGTGGCCTGGGATGTTTTCTATTCCTCACAGGGGACTAAGGGCTTTCTCATATCCGTTCCCCAGTAGCAGTGTGGCTTCCCCTGTGCCCAGACAAGGAGAGAAGGTTTGCTGCTCGTCCCACAGAGCTTCTGTTCTTCTGGTTGGCTTGGTTTTTTTCTTTTGTTTTTGTATGAGAGGGAAAAGATTTGGGTGAGACTCTATATCTGCTTCTACATTTGGTGGCCTAGTGGCAAGATGCTGCTCTGCAATCCTGAGGGCACACAGTTCAAATCCACCAGCTAGCTGTTCCCCTGGTGAAGGACGGTCAGTCCTCTCGTGTGTGATTAACCGCCTCTGAAAACCCGCTGGAGCATCAGCTATGGGTCAGTTCTGACTCCATGATACACAACAACAATAACAATGTGGTTTACAATTTTGTTGGACCATTCACACCTTTTTATTACACAAATTGTTGTTGTTGTTATGTTCTGTTGAGTTGCTTGCAACTCATAGCAACCCTATGTACAACAGCCCTAAACCCTGCTCTACCCCTTGCCAATCTTACTGTCTCTGACACGCCTATACCCATTATCCCAGTCACTGAGTCAGTCCACCTCATAGAGGGTCTTCCTCTCCTGCGCCATCTCTCCACCCTCCCAGACATGACATCCCTCTCCAAGGACTGGTCCCGCCGTCATACTAGACTTTTTAGCAATTAATTTAAAAATATTAGCTAAATTTTTATCAGCTTTTTTGGCAGCTGGCATCAGCCCCAAGTGACAAGTACCTTGTGTCCTGTCTTCTTGGATGAGCCTGCCTTTCCTTTATTTCAGGCTGATCGGTGTGTCCTTAGCTCTCCAATGGGCTTCAGAAATTTTATGATTTTATAAAACACTAACATTTTTCACAGCAGTCTTTCGAACTCTTACAATATTTACCTTCTGACATTTTGATGGCCTGAAATTTGGGTTAAGTACTGATTCTCAGATGCTCTAGCGTTAAACATGGGACGTCTGTCCTTGCAGAGACCTGGGGACTGTGGCAGCCGTGGAGCCGGTGCAGCACCAGCTGTGGCGATGGTGTCAGGAAGCGTCTGCGCGTGTGCCTCACTTCCTTCCCCTCCAGACCCGGCTGCCCTGGGCTGTCCTCAGAAACCTCCCCGTGTTCCCTGGAGGAGTGTGACGGTAGGTATTTTCCCTTCCTCCTGGGTTCTTCGCTCAGACACTTCGTCAAAGGCAACAGCGAGCCCAGGCCAGCCTGGGAGTCCCCAATCTGACTTCAGGAGTGGACTCACGCTGACCCGCTGTCATTTGCAGCACTAACTCTAGGTACGTTCACATGTATAAGAGTGAAGGCGACCTGTCACTAGGTGGTGACAAGGGAATTACACAATCCAGACATGGGAATGAGATTTATCTATTTCTTTAAAATTCAAGATTCAGAAATACTGTTGTTGTTATGTGCCGTCAAGTCGCATGCAACTCACAGCAGCCCTGTGTACAGTAGCTCTGAACTCTGCTCTATCCTAAGCCAGTCTTATTTTCTGACACACCTACCCACATTACCCCAGTCACTGAGTCAAAATAGAATTATCTCCACCCAATTTTATTTTTTTTTCTTTCTTCCTTCTCACTAAAACTGGGGAGAGGTTTCCCTTAAATTTTCTCCATCGTCCCAGGGAAATTTATGAGGGTATTTATCAAAATGAGACTAGATTCTGTATCTTTTTAAATTTTGTGTGTGTGTGTGTGTGTGTGTGTGTGTGTGTGTGTGTGTGTACCATCAAATCAGATCTGATAGGTACAGGAGATTGCCCCTCCTTCTCCAGCAGAGCATCTGGTGGATTGAACCAAGTCCCTCTGGGATTGCAGTGCACCTTCTTGTAGATTCTGTATTTTAAGCTCTGGACAACCCTAGGCTTATACTTCTGCTGCCCTTCTCCTCCAGCTACTACACGCACCTGAGAGGAGTGGATGATTCCATTTCTTCTTCTCATCACCTAGGGAGCTGTCCTTCCCACACCCCTCTCCCCCTTTCCTAGACTCATCATGAAAGCAAAAATCCTTACCATTGGGCCAAGAGACCTCATTATGGGTATGATACGTGGAGAAGAGCGTCAGTGATTTTATTTTGCTTGGATCTACTATCAACACCCTTGGCATCATGACAGGAAATTAAAAGATGTATTGCACTAGGAACGTCTGTTATCGGGGACCTACCTCTCCAAAGTGCTGAAGAGCAAGGATGTTGGCTTAAAGACCAATGTGTACCTGATCCAAACCATGATCTTTTTTATTACTTGCTATGCATCTGCAAGTTGGACATTGATTAAGATTGAAAGAAGAAGAATTGATGCCTTTGAGTTGTGGTGTTGGAGAAGAGTACCGAATATCTCATGGACTGCCAAAAGAACAGTTATATCTTTGGAAAGGTGAAGTCAGAGTGCTCCTTGGAGGCAAAGACAGTGACACCTCACCTCACATACTGTGGGCATGTCGTTAGGAGGGGCTCTTGGAAAACAACGTGAAGCTGGAAGGGTGGAGAGGAAGGAGGAGCGGAGGATTGACACACTGTAATGATGGGCTCAGGTGGGTCACAGATGATGTGAATACACAGGATGGGGCATCGGACAGAGCCATTGTTTGTAGGGTCACTGTGAGTGAGTCATTGTCAGCTCGACTGGGCTTCTCAACAGCAGACATCTTCCAGGGATCCTGGTGGTCTAGTCCATAGGTCATTGTGCTGCTGAACCAAAGACCACATAGATCTCTGGTGATTAGAACCCAACATTGACTCCAAGAAAGGAAGACATCAAACTCCTCCCATGCAGTTTATAGCCTCAGAATCCCCATGAGCATCAACTGTGATTTGAAACCAACTCAACGGCAATGAGTCAAAGCATCTTCAAGACACATGAGTAGATTTTCGGTGAGAGCTTCACGTTGCTGGTCCGTGCATGGGCTCACGTGGATCACTCGGGTTCGTTTCTGTTTGTGGAGCTAATTGCATTCACACCCCATGAGCTTAACAACACACAGAACCTCTGCACCTCGTCCGCATGGTCCCACCTCCTGACGCATAGCTCAGCTCCCCATTTAGATGGCTCCTCTCGGCTCTGGTCCTGCATCTTAAAGCTCCTTTGTCACATCCTGCCTTCTACTCTCCAATTTCTGAATTGTTGAAAAGGGCGCTGGTTAACTCGTCTCTGATGTCTGGAGAACGCGGGTGTTGTTCTGCATTTGGATCTCAGAGTGCCTTTTAGCCAGAGCCGCGGCACGTGACGCTCCCTGCTTGGCCTTAGACGATCCTTCTTTTTTTTTTTCTTCTTTTTTTTTTTTGTTGCCTCATCTTTCCATCAGTGTCCTTGGCCTTGTGCCCTCCATACCTGCTTTCTGTGAGAACCTGCTCCCTTTCTTATTGCGTCAGACCTCGGGCTGCCTCCCAGCCTGTTGCTCATATCTTTTTCCATACACACATTGGTTTCTACCTGAACCCATTCTTTCACGCCGTTTTCTAGTACTTTCTTTATAAATCTCCTTTTCACTTTGTACAACCCCGTCCTCATGTGTCCCTTCTGTCAGATCTTCCTCTCTCAATCATAGAACCTAAGTGAATTTAAGTTAATTGCCATCAGCATAATATTCTTAAAAGTGACAATTAAGAAATGGTTGTTCTTAAGAACTCTTAGCAAAGTGGACTTGGGGGTGACGGAAGAAATTGTGTAAGAGTGGAAGAATTTTTTTTTAAAAGAGAAAAGTGAACGAGGGGGAGTAGGGAGGAAAATGTGCAACAATGAACGAATGAAAGTCCAAGTTTTCTATAAACCTTTAAAATCTCAGAAAGAAGAGGGGAAAGAAATGTCTATTCTGTCAGCACTTCAAATGTTATCTCATTTAAATTTCATAATAACTCTGCAAGATGCTTATTACCATGCTGGCCTCTGGTCTTGTAAATTTACTGCATGATAGGCATTTTCCTATGTGTGTTACTCATAGGATACTGAGACAGGGAGAGGTTAAGGGCTCTGCTTACGATAATAAAACTAGTAAGCCGAAAGCTGTACTTGTATTCACCTGGTGTAGGGCTCTAGGTGCTGTGCTTCTAATTAAGAGGTCAGTGGTTGGAATCCATCTGGCACCTCAGGAGAAAGGTGGACAGTCACCTGCAAAGGTCCTATAGCCATGGAAAACTGTTATTTAGAATGGATTGACAGCAGTAACTTTGTTGTTTGGCTGAGCTATAATTCCATACTAAACTTTCTATGTTGCCTTTAAATACAAGCTAATTTAGAAGGCTCAGCAGCTTGGAATTGACAATAATTTTGGGGAAGCTTAGTTTTATGTTTTGGCATCTTGATTTTTTTTTTTAGACACAATATAAAGTAGCAAGCAGAGTAAGTGTTACAGACACATTCTACTTTTAGTCTAAGTGTATATCTTGAATAAAGGTGGAAATTTCTTGCCGATGTTCTCTTCCTCCTCCATTTCTTGAAGATGCAGTGTCTGTTTGCAGGCTGCTCAGCACTAGGCAATCACTCCTATGAGGTGAAGGAGAGATGAGACGAGGCAGAGATGGGGAGGCCAGCCATGCAGGGCTTTCCTGCAGCCGTCCGTGGTTCTTACGGGAACTGGTCGACAGCTGAGGGAAGAGGTTCAGGTGCGTCACAGCAGTGCTGCTGCTGGGGTCATAAGCGGTCACTGCAGAGCAGAGCAGTGACAAGGCAGGAGACAAGCCCCTTGTCATTTAACTGGGGTTTTTTTTTTGGTTGAAAGTTTAGAGTTTGGTTTGACTTTCAAATGATGTTATTTTGCCAAGATCTGAGTGTAGTTTTGTGTTTATTTGGTCTGTCTTGTCCAACAAGGAAATAGAAGGAGCCAGTTGCTGTTGTGCCTGTATTCCACCTGATAGAATACTGATTGCTTTTCTGTTACCTGTTTAAGAATTTGAGCTGTGGTGTTAAAGAAGAGCACTGACTATCCCATGGACGGCTAAGAGAACAAACAGATAATGTCTTGCAGAAAGTGTTCTTTGGGGGGCAACAATGATGAGGCTTTTGCCTCACATACTTTGGGGCTGTTGCTAGGAGGTGCTATTCTTTGGAGAAGGACATGATTCTGGGAAGGGTGGAGGGTCAGTGAAGGAGAGGAAAACCCTCAGTCAGATGTATTGACACGGTGACTGCTGCAGTGGGCTCTTGATGGCATAGGGTAAAAGATAACTTCTACCACTGATTCCATAAAGAAAGGTAAATATGGATGTGCCTGGTGGCAGCAGAAAAGGCTTGGGGCATTCTTGGCTGATGCCTAGGAAACTCCTGAAGAAGATAATTGGGTGGGGGCTTGAGGAGAGTAGTGAAATTGTGAAGTCGATGTTATAAAGGATGGAGGAGGGCTGTACAGGGACGGTGGGAAGGTCTGTGGGCGGCCTGCGCTGTCCCTCCACCCTTCGGAGCATGATGTCCCTCCTGGCCACTACTTTTAAGATGTACAAATTTAGGCACAACCCATCTCGATTATTGTCTATTTAAAGATTTGTACTTTTAGAATGTAAATCACACAAAAAGGGAAGCAGGTAATTATAGCCCACATGAAATGATATTAAGTGAAAACCTTGATTGTATCTTGAACTTTAATGGAGCGAAGCTTCAACATAATAAACTTGAAATACATTTCAGGAGGCCAGAGCAGCAGGAGCTGGTGAACACTTCGTGGCTAATTCAGTTCCATCACTTCCCATTGTCTGTCTTTGCCCTTTTGTTGGTGATGTTTGCCTTATGCTGCCAACAGAGATACTTAAGACCAGAAATCCTCGTTTGCTGGGCTTTTCCACTGCCACATAATGACCGCTTGGGGATTATAACCCCTCAGGGGAGACAGGAAATACATTTCTTTTTTTTCTTTTCTCTTTTTTCTGGGGGCAGTGTTTCAGGGGTCCAGCCCATCTCCTCTCCAGCCCGAGGGTCCGGCGAAGCCCAGCAACGTCGTGACGGTCACGGGCATTTCCCTGTGCCTGTTCATCATCGTGGCCACCGTGCTCATCACGCTGTGGAGGAAGTTTGGCCGAGCCCCCAAGTGTGGCACCCCTGCTCGGCACAACTCCATCCACTCGCCCAGCTTCCGGAAGAACTCGGACGAGGAGAACATCTGTGAACTGAGTGAGCAGCGGGGCAGCTTCTCAGATGGGGGAGATGGGCCCTCGGGGAGCCCGGGGGAGGTGGGCATCCCTTTGACCTACAGGCAGAGCGTGCCGGCCACTCCTGAGGACGACGCCTCCGGCAGCGACAGCTTCCAGTCCAGCGCCCAGAAGATAATCCCTCCTCTGTTTAGCTACCGCCTTGCTCAGCAGCAGCTGAAGGAGATGAAGAAGAAAGGCCTGACAGAAACCACCAAAGTGTACCACGTGTCTCAGAGCCCCCTGACGGACACTGCTGTCGACGCGGCCTCCAGCCCCGCCTTGGACTTGGAAGGCCCAGAGGAAGTGGTGGGGAACAAGTTCCGCATCAAATCCCCATTTGCAGACCAGCCTCCGGTCAGCAATGGAGAGCGGCCCCCCTCTAGGCTGGACCTCACCTCTGCGCAGGCCAGTTGTGCAGTGAGTCCCAGCCAGACCCTCATCCGCAAGTCACAGGCGAGGCTCGCGGGCAGCAGAGGCGGCCAGGCCGAGAGGAGCCATGCCAGGAACTCCCACTTCAGAAGGACTGCTAGTTTTCACGAGACCAGGCAGGCCAGGCCGTTCCGTGAGAGGAGCATGTCCACGCTGACTCCTCGGCAGGCCCCCAACTACGGCTCCCGGACTCGAACCTGGGACCAGGCGGACGACAAGGCGAGACCTCCGAGCCGAGGCACCCACCTGGTCCCTGAGAAGGTGGAGCATTTCCAAGGAGCAGGAGGGAGCAGTGGTCTGTTAAGCCCTCTCCCCAAGGCCCACACGGTGGGACAGCCCACGAGGACACCAGACCTGGGGGGTCACCAGGCAGGGCTTGTGGTGGGATTTGAGAGGACAGAGTCCCACAGAGCTCGGAGGGGACCGTCCCCCAGTCGCAGGAGCATCTCAAGGAAACAGCCTTCTCCTGTTCACCCCAAAGATAGCTACCAGAGGGCCAGCCCACTGAGTCCTTCCCAGGGTCGAAAGGACAAGTGTCAGAGCTTCCCCACGCATCCAGAGTTCGCCTTCTATGACAACACATCCTTTGGCCTCTCGGAGGCGGAGCAGAGGATGCTCGACCTCCCTGGGTATTTTGGGTCCAATGAAGAGGATGAGACCACGAGCACGCTCAGTGTGGAGAAGCTGGTGGTCTGAGCCAGAGTCAGCTGCAGGCACCGCACCTGGGGCTTGGGATGGAGGCCCCATGGCTGACATTGTTCTGGGGACTATTTAAGTTATCACCGTCTGTACAATAGAGCTGAATGTGGGAAGGAAGTCACTCACAAAGGAGGGTGTGTGTGGAAGGAAGGCGGACGTTCTTTATCCTGACCCTTTCCCTTTGTTAGCCAGTTTCTACTGGTTCATTACTAATAACAATGATAATAAAGTTTCAACAAGTGAAATAACTTGGTCTCCTGTGGACATGAGAGACAGAGGGTAAGCTGCAATTTGAGACTGTAAAGTTCTCTGAATATCGACAGTTTCCAAATGGAAGCAAAAATAGGATACAGCTCTATGTTGGAGGTGGAGCAGAGTTAACTTGGTTACACGGCTCTGAATCTGTGTGTGTATGTTTCATAGGTAACAAACCATTTATATTTGTAAAATCATGACATTGTATTTATCATGTTGTTCAGCCTTCACTCATTTCCAGGTTTTTCTGTCACTTTTAAGATAAGCTCGTTGGTCCCCCTTTTCTTCCCTCTTCTGCCCACCCTTTCTAACCTTTAATAAACTGGTTTGGGGTGTTTTGGGTGTTTTTTAAAATTAGAGGGAGAGAGAGAGAGAGAGAGAGAGAGAGAGTGTGTGTGTGTGTGTGTGTGTGTGTGTGTGCCGTCAAATCAGATTTGATTGGTACAAGAGGAGATTGTCCCTCCTTCTCCAGCAGAGAATCTGGTGGACTCAAACCGCGCACCTCTGGGACTGCAGTGCAGCTTCTTGCCACTAGGCCACCAGAGCTTGCCACCCTTAACATGTTGCCGCACACTTTTAAATTGACAATCGTGCTTAGAAACATTCCCCCCCCCCCATGTCTTACCATCATTTGCGGCAACGTGTTCATAAACCGATATTTGCTTGTTCTACATATTTTATATAAATGAGATCAAATCACAGTTATTCTTTATTTTTATTTTATTTTTTTTTACAGTTATTCTTTTGTAACTAACTTACTTCACATAGCATAATAATTTCCAGGATTTTTCCACGCTACAGCACACATTAGAACATTGTTTTTATTTTGGGCTGGATAATATTCCGTTGTGGGTCTAGGCCACATTATGGGTTTTCCCTTCTTTTGCTGGACACTTAGGCTAATTCTACCTTTGGTTACTGAGAATAATGAGTGGTGGTGTACAAACACCTGTTCATGAATTTGCATATGTTTAATTAGAAAAGAATTAGACTTCTAGACGGTAAATAGGAACAGGTCCCTTATTCTACAGTTGAGAGAAAACCATTAGGCGTTATGCTACTGAGAAGATATTCAGGAGGAACCCTCAGACCTGAGTTGATGAGATCTTAGTTAACAGTTTTTATACAACAAAGAACACAAAATGACATTATTTTGCATTTATTTGAACTGCTGGAGCCACACACTCACTATGAACTATGCCACCAGAGCTCCCTGTTTATTCCGGTCAATTGACGATCTGTTCATACAGTCCTCATTGTTCTCAACACCTTCTGGGAAGAAAGGCTTCATCTTCTGGGAAAGCATTGTGTGGAAAATGGGCATTGGGTGTGGGCTGGGAGAACGCTGGGCATATGATGCCGACTGCGGGCTTCTGAGTCAGGCTGCCCGTGCAGACACCCCCCCCCGGGTGATGGCATTTTCAGATGAGTGTGTGTTTCAAGACAACTCTTAACTTTTTATTCAGAAAAGACAGGCATTCATCTCAGGTGTTTGCAAAGTAGGTAGAGACCTAATCATGGCTTTAAAGAAGGAAGTTGAAAATATTTTTTAGAATAGCTCTATTTTCTTTTCATAGGGTCGCGATGAGTCGCAGGCGACTCAACGGCACATAACAACAACAACTCTTCTTTTTCAGCCCTCCTCTTGCATTTTACAAATGAGGAATTTGAGACGCAGACACAGTATCCTAGCTTTCCAGTGCTGCTGTAACACAAAACCCACACGTGGGTGACTTTATAAAACAGAGATGGATTTTCTAACAGTTCTGGAAGCTAAAAGCACAAATCAGGGTTCTGGCCACATCGAGTCCTTCTTTGTAGGTACTTGTGGGCATCCTTTGACTCCTTGGTTTGAATATTATATTCACATGGTATCTGTCTGTCTTTCCCTTACCTGTATCCACGTATCCGTGTCTAATCTGCTCTTTTTAGAACTCAAGTGATTTGAATCCACCCTACTTTGGAATGTTCTAATTAGCCTAACAAAGAAAACTCTTTTTCCAAAAAGGATTAGATCCAGAGTTTGAGGTTAGGATTCCAAAACTTTATGTGGTGTGGGTGTGTGTGTTTGTGGGGGTGCGCCTGGGTGTAACAGAGAGATGACATCCTTTATTCCTTAAGAGAAGGTAGTTAACTTCTCTGAGCTTGGATAAGACCTGCTACCCATTTTTAATAATCCATTTTTATTCGATACCATGTTGTTTGTGCTACCATCACAGTCTTTTTTTTTTAATTGATTTTAATGAAAGAGACTAAGGGTTTCCAATCATTTCATTGTTTCACTTTTCTCCCTGCCTACCCCCTCCCCCACAATTTACTTTTCTCCTTGAAAAGTAAAAGGAAAAACTCTTCCATTGCTATGCAGTTCCTCCCCTTAAGTTCACTGCGATGCAACCTTCATTCTGGACTCCTGACATGACAGTCTTCTTTAATAAAAGCAATAAAGAGCTTAGGAGAAAGTTGCCAATAAGCAGGTCTTGCAGCTTGGAAGAGCTGAACAAAAGAAGCGAAGAGATGGGTACCTTCATCGGAAGCCTGTCATCAGGTACCCTGTGCCTGCAGACTGGAATCTCTGCCTGCCTGCGTGCCTTCTTCCAGCTCTTGAGCCCAGCTGCTTCTCTGTATGGGCGGAGTAGTTGTATTTTTCTTCTTTTCCAGTGACCCTCTCACCACCACACCCACAGACTGTTTCCTTCTTTTCTTTGGAGTTTATCAGCATGTCAGTCTGCTGGCCAGATTCCAGAGGTCCTTGGAGAGAGTTTGAGTAGGTTTCAAATCTCAAATATAAATACTGTATTTTTAAAGGTGTCTCATTTGCTGCATTGCTGTTTGATCTATACCTTTTTAAAATTAAAATACACCTCCTTTAATAATAACTCTACCCTTCAGGAAAAGGGTTTTCTGACATATGTGCTGATGCAGAGAAGAGGAAAGCAAGCTTTCAAATCTCCGTTTTCTTTGCTGATCGCACTGGAATGCTTTGTTCTCTTTCCAAGTTCATAGGCTTGTGTGCCAACTTTGAGGACAGAAGTACATGCCCGCTCATTCCAGATTTCACAGTGAATTTCCCAACGGCAAAAGGCTCAGCCTCCAACAGCCATGGAGACAGTGAAGAGGTGAGAGGAACACTCTGAAAAGAAGGTTTTTCTGTTAAATCGCGTTTTGCCTCAGCGTATTCGACATGTAAATGATTTTCTCCATGATGCCCTAGAGCATGTAGGCGATAGCCTGGCACTTGCCAAGAGTCAGCACGCCTGTGCCTCTGAGCAGAGAAAGAGTTGCAACGTTGGGGTTTTCTGGTGCATTAATGGTCAGCTTCATTAGAAAGAATTTCCCCTTCATCATTGTGCCCCGAGATTCTAGCTCCAGTGCTTGCCACAGAATAGGAGCTCAATAAGTATTTATTAAGCAAATGATGACTAGCTATTTAAAAGACCTTTGGAATTTTTGGATTGAACTAGATAATTCTACTTCAGACGAAACCATCAACCATTATAAGCAGGATGTGTTCGTGTGGGAGGCTGGAGGATTGTAAGTTGTAGAGGTCTTCACAGATGAAGAGGTCCTAATTTTTGGAGGATGTTAGCTCAAAAGATGGAGGTGAAAGCTTATCCCAGTGTCTAGTGGTTGTTACGGGCTGGCATTGACTCATAGCTGACTCTCCAGTGAGTTTTCAGAGACTGTAAATTGCATGGGGAGATATTGCCCATTGTTCTTCTGCAGAGCAAGTGGCATGCCTTTGGGCTGCCTTCTAATCCTCAAGGGGGTTGCACATAGGAGGAGGAGGAGCAAAAAACCGGTCTAACTTCAAGGAGGAAGAGAACAGGATTAGCTCAAAACTGATTCCCAGAAATACTTCCTCCAACATTTTTTACCAGTTCTGACACCAACAGCCCCTCCCATGACACTCTCTTCTGGATTCAGTAACTTCATGAGTGTTGATTGCGTAGCCAGGTAAAAGGAAACTCCTGACAACTTCAATCTTCCAGCATTTACCAGGATGCTGCTCTTGGTCCTATTGTGAGAACTTCATTTTTTTTTTCTTACAATGAAATCTTTTGTAAATTAAGAAATCTTTCATACACATTTTCTTTTTTTTTTTTCATATACATTTTCTAACCCATTCTTTCCCATGGAAATGCACATTTTAATTTCCTGGCTACTGGTGCCAAGAGTGTTAATTGTGGAGCCAAGCAAACTAAAGCTGTGAACAATCTCAATCTCTTCGCCACCCATCCTGATGCTATCAATTGGCCCAGTGGTGAGAATCTTTGTCTTCTTGACATTGAGCCTCAATCCATATTGGAGGCTGCAGTCCTTGACCCTCTGCAGCAGGTGCTTCAGGTCCTCTTCAGTTTCAGCAAGCAGGGTTGTGTCATCTGCATAACGCAGATTGTTGATAGATCGTCCACCAATCTTGGCCCCACATTTCTCCTCATAGAGCCCAGCCTCCCAGATAATCTGCTCTGCATACAGGTTGAAAGGTATGGAGATAAGATGCATCCCTGGCATACGCCCTTCCAAATTTTGAACCATGCAGTGTTCCCTTGCTCTGTTCTGATGACTGCCTCCTGGTCCAAGTATAAGTTTCGCATTAGAACAATCAAGTGTTCTCGGATTCCCATTCTTCTCAGAGTCAGCCATAGTTTGTTATGATCCACACAGTCAAATGCCTTTGCATAGTCAATGAAACACAGACATTCCTCTGGTATTCCCTGCTTTCAGCCAAGATCCATCTAACA